GATAGATTAAGACTGGGCTGTTTATCTGCACACTCTACTCAACAATCTGATGGAAAATTCCTGTTTTTCAAAATTAGTGTACACGTTACCATAACAACAAGCGTTACGTGAGTCCAGTCAGAGCGAGACGAGCGGCAGTATGTTGCCGGAGTTTTCAGTTGGCGTTTTTAATGTGTTCTATGGTAAAGCCACTGTTGTTCATTTGCTCTTATACTTGTCTGAACAGCTTGTTACTGTGAGTTTTACAGCCACCCGTCCTGCTAATTATAAGTCTTTTAAAGTTTGAGGCATAAACTTTCCAGTTTTTGCTCCAGTCATGATGAACGTTCGAAACTTATGACACAGATGCACTTGTGCAGAACATACTTAAACCTTCCAATTGGGAATAGTTAAAACTAGTTAGCAGGGACAGACGGATACAGACATTTACATGGCTATTATTCTTCTATTTAACGTATTATTTATGGCATTATCCTCGTTCAGTTGGAAAGAAGTTGTATTCAGAATGGCCTCCATTGGACTTGTCTATTCCAGTAGAGGGGTTTACATGGATGTGTTCTATGCTGACTGAGCTAGTAGTCAGATTATTAACGGATTGTTAGGCTTCATGTAAATGTGGCTAATGTTATTTATGAAAGACTGCGACATATGCTATAACCTTATCTGTCATCCCTGTCTCACAGTTTTGTAGTTTTTCCAGATGCCAAAAGTCATCTAACCCCAGTCCCGTTTCAGGCTGATGTTGTGCCGAATTCCATCTCCCCGGCACAATTCAACTCCCAATTGGGTGCACGTGCGTCATGCAGGCATGTGGACGGACGCTGCAGATTACACTAGCGATTTTAGTTATTTACACAGAGAAACATCAGAAATTGTGAGGGTAATCTGTAGCATCCTTACGCCTGCATGATGCGTGTGCATGCAAAGGGCAGTCGGATTCTGTATCCTTAAGCCCGTCAACAAATGCACTTATACAGCTGTCCTCAAAGTGCAATTTGTGTTTTATGACAGTGGTTTAAAAACTCCGTAACTGTAGGGGGAACCCAAGAGTACAAAAGAACAATTCTCGCATAATGCTGCTTTAAGCGGCAGCAACATTCTTTTATCTCCGTTTTTGTTGTTTTATTCATTTTATACATAATATGTAAACACCAGATGCCTTTTACATTGTGTGGAAGTTTTACAATGAATAGATTGTAGTAGTGATTCTGCATTACTTAGAAAAAAAAAAACTTTTTATATTAACTTCCATTATAAGTTAAGAATGTTTTTTCGTTCTCCTGAAAAGTTACCATGTTGGAGATATGAGGCTTTTGTCTGACACTGACAATGTGTTAATATCTGTTACAAGCTTCACATAAAACATGTGGTATCCCTTTTACGAGCTTCACATGTTCTTGTTTCGTCTAGAAAGGCCACCAGCATTAGCTTAGCACTAGTACCCTATTAGAAAACCCAGCAGAAATTTGAATTATCCTAGCATTATCGAGTTGTTTTTTTGTAGTTGGTGTTGTTTTGACTGAGTTTTGACGTTAATGGCCCAAAATGAAGGCCTTGCTCTAATAGTCATGGCTTGCCACTGGTGCGTACAGACTTGTTTTGGGGAGAAAATATTTTCTTTGCATTTTTGCCCCATTTTGGTAATTTCTTGCCATGACTCAACCTGTCGGTACAGAATGTAAGTGGAATGGAAGTGTAATTCCTTACAAAACATACTAGCAAAACAAAAACATAATTCTCGACTTCCAAAAACTGTGACATTAACAGATGAAGCTGAGAAAGACTTTTGTTTTGTAAATTGATTGATTAAACTGATTTGGAGATATTTAAGTGTAAGAATCTTCTAATAACATAACTGTAGTATAAATTATATTTAAGTAGTTTATAGCTGTAGTATACATGATATTTACTTAGTTTATATCATGCAGTGTGGTGTTAGGAGAGAAGTCCGCTAGCTCTCGGTTGGCAATGGAGCGGAACCCAGGACGTGGGCTCCTCAGTGCCCGCCTGAACCCTCTAATGAGCCCGGAGCAATGCCACGGCAACCTGTGACTGCCACAGGGATTACATGCTGCCCTGTAATTACTGTCTGCAGCCTCCAAGGGAGGACTGGCCCCAGTGTTCCTCCTGTGCCATACTGCCCGGGCATTGGAGTATCATGCTGCTGGCTCATTCGCTGTCTGCAGTGCTTTCACGATGATTTCTGACATAAACATGATATATTGTTGTTTTTGATTTACATCATATATGTAAATGTGCTTACATAATTAATTTACATACATAGTTATGTAATGAATTACATTTACATTCAATTTACCTTTTTATTACTACATTTTCTATTTGTTTTGGTATCAAACAGTGACAAAATCACAGTTTGATGGCGAGAATGGGGTTAAAACGGGGTAAATGTTTTATGAGAGTTGTACAACTGGAGGAGAAACATGAGGAATATTCATGTGTAGAAGAAAAAGTAATAGAGAGATGAAGCTGTTTGAATAGCAGAGAATGTGGGTTAATAAATTCATAAAACGCATTCAGTAAAAGCATGTACGTTCATTCTTTTATTCTTCAGACCAGCGCACAGAGGAATACTCTCTACTCTGAGTGTTCACTGGTCATGGAAGAAGCAGTAAATACTTTGTGGAGAAGATTGATATAAATTCTCAGTCAAAGACTCTAGATAGCAAGCATACATCGGTCTGCTGGCTTGATAAGGTCGGCCACCTGCTGACTGTACGCCACTGTGTGGTCCACCCTCGGACCACCCAGATTCTTATCCTGCGTTAAAGGTGTACCTACTTTTTAACCTCCTCAAAGATTTTCGATGGACATAGCCTTTTATTTTGGAAAATAAACTAAGAGAAATATTACAAACTACTGAGAGAAAAAAAGAAAATGATGACTAGGCCTAAAAATGTCATTGCTGACACTGCACTAGATTTATGATACTGCTGTTAAATGATTTACTAAACTAATTTACATTTTATAGAAAGAAAACAATGAAGGAAAAGTAAGTAAATCGGACCGTGAGTTGAAAGTGAGCAAATGAAAGTGGCATTTTGTCTAATACTCTGCTCAACCACCAGTGGGCCGCCTGGAAAATGCTAAACAAACCAGTGGCCTGCTGTCCTGTTACTATCTGGGAAGATTTGCCTGGCTTCTCTGCTCAGTCTGTCTTTGCGACTGAACATTTAAATGGACAGTACGTGGTGCTATAACTATAGATTTACATATAAAAGAGCTAGATAGGCAGCACTGCTCCAGTGACGCAGTCTCCCCAAACATGGGCGCCTGATTTTAAGAGAAAGTGGGGAAGCTGTTTTTTCCAGGTGGAGTGTGGGGTGGTTTGGCTGAGGGTACTAGTTTCCTTCAATATTACTTCAAACTTAGTTGGAATTATGTGGTTACTTTAGGCTGTCTGATGCTAAAATCTGAACACAAACAATAGACAGCTACAATCATCCATCATTTTGTCTAATTCCTTTCTTACAGCAGATTACACTGGTTTAATCATATAGAATTGTGTAATAATGTAATGAGATCCACATTTAATGATTTTAATGAAGCAAAATTCTTAAATGCTGAGGAATGTTTGCTAATTAGATGTTTAGCTAATTGTTTAGCTGATTATCAAACTAAACTGTTTAATTGATTAGCTGTTTAACTGATTAGAGAGCTGGACCGTTGCTGGAGCAGCTAACTAATTCAGTTTCTGTGCAGAATGAACCCAGTTGAACTTATTGAATTGAATGTAATTGAAATATAATTTCAACTTTATCAGCCAGTATCTTGAAAAAAATTGGTACTATTTCTATTCTTTATTTCTATTAACTACTTAATGTTCTTTGCAGAGACAGTTGGCTAACTAACTTTCAAGTAATGCTTGAAGACATACTTACATACTAATGTCAGTCGCTCTTCTTACTTTTGCATGGATACCTACACTTAAAATGTCTTTCCACGGCCCTCAAGTTGGGTTTTCTTGTAGCAACATGTGGCACCTTTTGGCATTTTTGGTGTATCTGAATTGTGTGTGTCCATTGAAACACACGTTCAGATGACTCTAAGGTGGATTTGAGAGGCTTTAGCACAAACCTCTGGTGTCCATGCCAGCTCGAGTGCATGCTGTCATTAAAGCAAAAGTGAGACAAACCAAATACTAAGAAACTCTAAAATTTATATAAACATTCAAAGATTCTGAAGCAGAATCTTTTCCCTCAAATATAATGCTGATTATATTAGTTGTAATGAAAGTGAATTGAATTGGACAGGAATGCAAAATGGAAGCATTTTCTACCGTGGTGTCAGACTTTTGGAGCCCACTGTATATAACAGACTTGACAAGACACATTGTACCTAAAGAACAGAGGAACATTCTCCTGTCTTGCTCTTGGTGCTGTGGGCCTTCACTGCTTTCACTGTGTCCCTGTCTACTGCTGCTGAGTTGTAATGATGAATCTGAATAATTGATCAGGTTTTAATGGAAACTTCTGTGTCTTACTCTTTTAAGCAAATGCACTGTGCACTTATAAATACCCAGTACAGTAATCGTGTATAATGTGTGTAGCACTGTAAATCCTGAATGTCATCTGTCTCTGACTCACGAGATTTACTAAGTATCATGAAGCCTCTTATGAAAAATGAAATAAGTTCTTGATTGTAGATTTCCTATCAGTTAATATTACCTACTGGTAGTATAGCCATAAGTTTCTGGGACAAATCTGGAACTTTCTAGACTAATTATAGTCAAACATTTGGAATTCTGAAGTGTATAGGGATACATTAGTAGCACAGTCAAATATGGAATTAGTTACTTTTAAATTCAGTCTAATACATTCTGCCTGAACAGCTTAAAATTCTGGCATTTCTCAGAATCTCAGCATTTTTATGCTTGTTTAACTGTAAAAAATAGACAGACGTGTGACAAATATGTACTGGATAACAGTTTAATTGGTAATTATTAAAACAAGGCTTTCCTTTTCATTTTCTTGTCTATGCAGATGGGCCAAAAGGTGCTTTCCAAACAGATCAACACCAGAGAGCCAGTAAAAGGTGTGCTGATGTCCTACACCGTTATGGACCTGCGGATCCCTCTGTCCTATGAGGTGGGGCTCACGCCCATCACGAGCTTTGCCGCTGGAGACACCGTCACCCGGATTATTCAATACTCTGAACGTGAGTTATTGTGACCTCATTTGACCTGATCATTATGGCTGAACGTGATGAGCATGGTGGAAAACAACTTCCACCAACAAAATGAATGCTATTCACAACATTTCCAACTAGACAGTGTTGGAGCACTTTGTTCTTATTGCATTAGCATTCATGCACATACAGTAATAGTCCAAAGCTGGGACACATCTTATGCATTTTATGTTGTTCCTCTTATTAAAGACATTTGGATCTAAAGACTACTGCTTGAATACAGACACTTGTTTTTAGCACAGTGTAGTAGTGATCTCAGTTTATGTGTGCTTGTTTTAACCCCTTAACATCCCAGGCTTACATACAAAGGCATATTATTCAGTAACTACAGATACTTCAATGCAAACTAGTTCATTTATTCTTAGGTTATAGAAGTGTGTAAACCCTTAGGCCTGCAGGCTGGCCTATGGCCTGTTAAGTGGTTAACCTGTCGGAAGAGGATCGTAGGTGGCTCCTCGTGAAGCTGTTGGAGGGAATGCCAAGAGTGAACAAAGCTACATCAAGGCAAAGTGGGGCTGCTTTGAAGAATGTAAAATAGAAGATACACTTTATGGTTAAAATCTGTGGACACCCCTCTTAATGATTGAGTTTCTGCCTCAATATCTGGCAGCCTGATGGACAAATCTAGATTTGGTGGATGCCAGGAGAAAGCTACCTAGCAGAATGTATAGTGCCAGCAGTAAAGTTTGGTGGAGTAGGAATAATGGTCTGGTCTTTTTAGGCTAGGCTCCTTAGGTCCAGTGTATGCCACAGCATACAAAGATATATTAGACAATTATATACTTCCGACTTTGTGTGCTGTTCCAGCATGACTGTGCCCCTGTGCACAAAGCAAGCTCCATAAAGTCATGGTTGGACTAGTCCAATGTGGAGGAAATCTAGTGTCCTGCACATAGTCCTTACCTCAGCTTCTTTGAACACCTTTGGGATGAATTGGAACGTTGAATGCGAGCCTTCTCATCCTACATCATTGCCTGACCTCACAAATGGTCTTTTGACTGAATGGACAGAAATTATCACAAACACACTCTAAAATCTTGTGGAAAGTCTTCACGGCTGTGGAGAAGGGGTGACTCCATATTAATGACCATGGTTTTGAAATGGATGTCTAGCAAGCTCAAATAGATGTGGTGGTCAGGTGTCCACATACTCAAATACTTTTGGCCATATAGTGTAGCAAAAATTAAGAAAACCCTTCTATGAGTAGATGTGTCCAAACATTTGACTTGTGCTGTACATTATAACCTTTGTTACAGTCTTGCCACTGTTTGTAAATACCGACAGAGCTGAGCCCATTTTCTCTGTATTTCCTGAACATCAGCCCACTTCATTAGCTCCGAACATTAGCAGCCAAGCATGGAGCTCCTGTAAGCAACAGTGGGGTAAATGTGCTGATGTTAATGGCATGCAATTTGTTATTGTACAATATGGATGCTTCTGAATTGCTCCTCAGGGCTACTGTTAAATATGCTAGTGAGAGAAAGCCATGTGTCTCTGCCCCAAAACATGCTCCGAAATTAAAGCGCTACTTTATGTCCTCATTTCACCTAAAATAAGACCTGGCCTCCTGCACACTGGTGCTGCTGAGTGGATATTTTTTAAGGGCCTTCTTCAGTCCCTTTTTTGGAAAAGAACAGATAATGCTAATGATTATAGGACTATTCTATGAAGAAATCTTTGCTGCCACGGCTGCTTTTTGTGGAGCAGAAGACAGGAGCATGGGGCACATCCACGCAGCTCATCGAAACATTGCAGGGCAGTGTAGAAGTTCCTCTTTTTGGAAGCACAAATGTTGTTTAAAAGGCCAGTTTTGGGTTCAGTTGCTGAAAGCAGGGGTTAAAGTCTACAGGCTGCTGCAGGCTGCTGATCTACACTGATGTATGATCAGCTCCTCCCTACCCAAACCTTACTCTTAAATGAGTAATAAATAGAATTTTCCATTAAAACTTGATGAAATATTTAGAAAGAAATGAGTAATTTTGAAGGTGGTGGGTGGTGAACGTAATGCAGCAAAAAAGATTGGAGAAAGGTGTTTTTTGTAGGTGAAAGATGGGGCGTGCTGTTTACATGTTGCTTTACAGCTGGAAGAAGCCATGCAGTCAAGTGTGATATTCTGGTGAAAGAGTGTCTGTGTTTTAAACGAGATGGCTTAATCTCCTTGGACTGCCCAGCATGCTTTCATCTTCCTTCAGCATTGTTCTCACTGGTCTAATACTGTCATAGAGCTCTGCTTTAAGCATGTGAAGTAGCTGGTGATAACAAAAGCATAGTGTAATTCTACATGAATTATTCATCACTCAAAGCTAATTGAAAGTGCAGAAATTCTATTTAAATATATATAATGTGTAGGGTTGTGGTGGAAGCTGAAGTTGACGTTTAATAGATTGAAAGAGATGCACCTTTTAGAAAATTGGAACACTCAGAAACGAACATACAGTTGTATGCAAACATGAACACCCCTGTTTGAATTACGTCTTTTGTTGATTTTTCTACGTGAGAATAATAAAAATAAAATAATAAAATAAAAATAAAAAAATAAATAAAATAATAAAAAAAAGTAATATTTTTTTTTCTGCAAACTTTAGCGCACAATTACAATTTATTTGAGTTTTGTGCAGGCTATATTTTAATTGTTTTATGTATGTTTGGTTACGTTCTTCAAATGATAAAATGTGCATAAGTATGTGCTCTGTAGATGTGTTAACGTAAGCCCTATTTGGGCTCCCGAGTGGCGCAACCGTCTAAGCGTTGGCTCTATCATCAGGAGATCACGAGTTCCATCCCTGGTGATGCTACAGCCGTCTGTAGCCGGGAGTCCGAGAGAGCACAATTGGCCTCGCTCTCTCTGGGTGGGTGGGATGGCTGCCTTTCTCCCCCCATCACTCACTCAGCGCGATGCTAGTCAGCCCAGATGTCTGTTAGCTGACGTAACAGATCTGGCAGTTGGCGCTTTCCTCCGAGCACGTTCAGCTGTCCAATGACGTTGCGTGAGCGGCAGCTCGAAAAGAAGCGGTGGCTGGTTTCACAGGTCTCGGAGGAAGCCTGTGTTAGCCTTCACCCTCCTAGCGTTGATAGCGTCGTGTGTGTGATTGGGGGAGTCCTAACTAGCGGGTGGAATTGGAGACAACTAAATTGGGGAGAAAATTGGGTAAAAAAATTGGAAAAAAAAAAAAAAACATAAGCCCTATTTGAGTAGTTTACCAGAGAAGGTTCAGGAATGTAATTTGTGCATGATTTGACTGGCCAATTTGTACAGGATGAAAGATCTTTGTAATGTCCCGAAATTACCCCAAATAGCCCAGGTTGAAACATCATTGCACAGACATTTACCTTAGCAGTATGCGACAAAAACACCACGCTGTGCTGCAGTAACACCATGCTATGTGGCTAAATGTTAAATATGGCACAACAAAAACAAAGTACAACACTGGATGAGGGAGGAGACTTCACATCTCATTTTGGTGTTGAGTGACAACCATCATCAATAGCAGTTCTAAATGATGGTGCATAATTCTAGCATATGAAGGAATATACACTGAATTGTTGTCAATACCAGTCGTCTTTTCATGTACTTGAGGATTAAGGAATAGGCACCATTTGCCTGTTTTTTTTTTTTCATTATATTAGTGTGATGCGATTCAAACAGGACTGCTATCACTGACGGAGCTCTGAGTCTGGTGAAATATAGAGGGTAATTCACTTCAAAATGATTACTTAGCAAATTTGTAAAAACCTTGGACATGGCAGATTCATACCGGATTAAAATCATGGATCTTGTCAGTTCTCACTTGAATTACAGCACCTCCCCAGTGGTTTCTCTGTGGTATCTATAGAAAGATGCAACCAAAAGAGCTTTTCCATTGGTTAGTCCTTAATGAGCTGGACAGAGGGCTTTAGACATTTATTTACCTACATAATGAGAAGATGATAGTGAAGTCAACCAACAGTGTTTTGATTTACAATATGTGGGATCAATGTTGTGTGTAAAAATGTCACTTCAGGCCTTCTGGAAATTTTTAGACTCGTCACTAACTGAGAGTATGAGCTATAATTTGACCAAGTTTCAGTCTGTTTTTCTATGCTAGGGCCCCTTACTGAAGGGGTCACCTTAACAGCTACATACATATATATATATATATATATATATATATATATATATATAATATACATTAATGTCTGTTACAGGCTTCAGACAAAACATGGAATGTCTTTTACAAACTTCAAATATTAATTTAGAATGGTTGAGAAATGTTAATATGCACTAGTAATTATGCACTACAGAAGCAAGCAGGATTGCAGAAGTGGATTTTTTCGACATGAGTTTAACACTTATGGCCCAAAATTAAAATAAAACATATGGTTCATGTGCACCAGCATTATCATAGTGCTATCATACTATTCGCTACTAAATCGTATAGAAAATTACATATCAGTGTTGTTATGGCCTGAACTGAAGACCTAACCTCTTTAAGAACTGGGGTGGCCTATTTTCAAAGCAGTGGATCTCTATCAGTACATCATTTTAAATGTGTTAAGGATGTTTTCTAATACTCTCTTGTTGTTCTTTTTGCAGCCTACACCTATCCAAGACCTTCAGGTAAGATGGATCATGTTCTCTTTTTCATGCCTTTTGTTGCCCTTTTTTCTCTCTCTCACTCTCTCTCTCTCTGCAATGCTCCCTCAGCTTTCCAGTTCGGTTCAATTAAATTCAACACGACTCCACTGGCAGCCAGTTCGCAGAGCTTTGCCAAAGTGCCACAATTAAAAAAACATAGATTAAAACAGATCGGAGGACAGTGGAGCAAATGAAAGAGGTGGGATGTAGCGTGGTGGGACGTGAATTGTCGTGGTGGATTATTTCGAACCCCCGGCGCAAGAATAATCCTGTTTCTTTTTTAAAAATGGGGTCTAAACAACTGCAGAAGGCATGAATGCGAAAGCCCCGAGTAATTAGTCGCAGTATCATGAGTCATTTTCTCATGCCTGGCAGTCTTTCTTGATGTTCGAATAGGCAAAGGATATTTAAGGGCCTAGAAAATGGGCAATTGAAAATATGGCTTCTCCTGGATATAACAGACGCAAATGAGAGGAGGCCTTTTACACGTGCTAATCAAGTTTAATGCTGTGTGTAAGTGAGAAATATAAAAGAAGAAAATGGATATCATATCTCCTTCCCTTTACTGTAGCTATTCTGTCTCCCCTCAGTCTCCCTTACTTTTCTATTTCCTTCCACTCTTCACTCTTCCTGAAACGCCCCAGGCTGCTCTCGCTTTGTTTTAATTCTCACATGCACCCATATTTAGAGATTAGCACCCACATTCTCTCTCTCTCTCTCTCTCTCTCTCTCTCTCTCTCTCTCTCTCTCACAGATCATGTTTGTGGCTTTGAGGATGTGCGGATATGTGGCTTCTATCAGGACCGCAGTGAAGTGTTTGATTGGACCAGACAGAACCACTTGAGTCAAAACCCAAAACGCTCAGTCAACACAGGCCCCGACACGGATAGGAGTGGAACAAAAGAAGGTACACATAAACACATATGCAGTGCTGTGCCAGAAACCATCTTTTCATATATTGAATTTGAAGTTAATCATTTTTCAGTGCCAGGAAAAAGATAAAACATATGTTTTTTTTTAGGATTTTAACCCATTTTCTCTGTATCTTTTAATAATTTTTTGAACTTCAGTTGTGGAAACTCCTATTTTTTCACTTATTTTCCTTTAACTATCCACTTTCTTGTGCATGTGAATCATCTTTTGAAATTCAGAAATAGATACTTTTATAGACACCTTTTTAGATGTGCATAAGAAAGAAATTTGAAAGCAGCTAAGGTGTGTTTGGGTAGTGGGGTAGTCTCTTTGAAGGGTAGCAATGTCCGCCAGAGCTTTGGGAACAGCTTTTGTTGGGAACACACAGCTGTCACTGGTTGGTTGGGATGGGAGAGTTAAAATAGCAATAGAGTGCACAAAATGTAAAAAGTGGACAAATTAAATACTAAGAGATTTGATATTATACTTAGTCTTGAATAACCCATACTTTACTGGAGATTAAATAAACTAAAGGGTGGTCTCTGATTTTTGACACAAACTGAGTTTCCTGTTTATTTTTTATGTGTACAGTTACTGCCCATAGCCCATCTGTTGCTGCACAAGCAGTTCCCCTTTACCCTGTCCATCAATAAGGGGCCACCATAGGACCAGTGCTGATGCATTTTGGCTACCGCTTTACATCACAGATTTGTTTGTTATTGTTTGTGGTGTGTTTGTGATAGGTTTTTGTTTCCCCGCTGGCCTGAGAGTATTTTTCATAATTGACTGAGAACCAACTGAAAGACTTTGCAGTAGTGGTTTTAGAATAGGCCACAAGCCTGCAGCTTCGCTCCGTGACAGTGGAGTTTGACTAGGCCGTGAGCTCTGGATTTCGCACCACAACAGCTAAGTCTGACTAGGCTGAGTGCCAGGGACTTTGCACTGCACCAAGGAAGATTGACTTGGGTATGAACCAGGGTCTTCGAACTGTGGCAGTGGAGTTTCAAGCTGGGAACTCTGTGCCTCGTCAGGGGAGTTTAACTACGCCACAAACCAGGACACCATCACTGCAACAGCAGAATTTGACTGGGCCATGAGGAAGGCGATGTCCCACATGCTGTGAGCTCTGGACTTTGCACCGTGACAGTGGAGTTAGACTGGACTGTGTGTCGGGACAGGTTCACTGCGACAGTGGAATTTGACTAGTCCACAATCCAGGGATTTTGAGCTTGACAGCAGAGTTTGACTACGGCATGAGCCAGGTACTTTACAGAGGATTTTGACTGGATTGTGAGCTGGGAACTCTATGCCTCATCAGGGGAGGTTAACTACGCCACAAACTGGGACACCATCACTGCAACTGTGGAATTTGACTGGGCCATGAGGTAGGAGATGTCCCACCACAACAGCAGAGATTGGCTAGGCCAGGAGTGTCCAATCTTATCTGCAAAGGGCCAGTGTGGCTGCAGGTTTTCATTCCAACGTAGCAGGACAGCACATATTCAGTTGTTTGAAGGCTGAGCATCTGATTAAACAAGTGGAATCAGGAGTGCTTCAGCTCATTTGGCTGAAAACTTGCAGCCATGTCGGCCCTTTGTGGATAAGATTGGACACCCCTGGACTAGGCTATAATCTGGGGACGTTGCACCATGACAGTGGTTTTAGACTGGACTGTGTGCTGGGACACTTTCACTGCGACAGTGGAATTTGACTAGTCCACAAGCTGGAGACTTCGTGCTTGACAGCAGAGTTCGACTTCAGCATGAGCCAGGGACTTCACACTGAGACAGCGGCATTTACTATGGCACGGGCCCGGAAACTAACAGTTTCTCTCCATGCCAGCTGGGGAACTGTGTTTTTGTGTATTTACGTATGTTTTGTTTGCCGTTATTTGGAATTATAAAGTGTCCTTGAGTTAAATTTATGTAGCAACTGACAACATTTCTACTTTTTTCTCTTCTGAGCAGAAAAGCACTCAGTATATATCGAGAAAAATAGCCTCCAAGTACATTCAGCATGCTGTTTGATGGTCTAAATCTACTGCTTTGATGTGCGTCCGTAACCGCCTCTGTCTCTATTACAGGTTATTACATGTACATAGAGACTTCACGGCCACGACAGAAAGGAGACAAAGCTCGCCTCCTGTCGCCACTCTATAACGTCACAGCAGCCAGAGGCCCCTCCGGCTCCAGCAGAGTGCCACACTGCATCTCATTCTTCTACCACATGAAGGGCAAACACATCGGTCAGTCCCATACCTCTACTACAGAGAAAGTGTGTGTGTGTGTGTGTGTGTGTGTGAGAGAGAGAGAGAGAGAGAGAGAGAGAGAGATGAATAAGTTATTTTGAGTATAAAAAACCTGGAGCTGTAACTTAAAGTGACATCTGTCTGCTCCCACTGTTCTAAAGCAGCTAGGTGTAGATGTGTGTTATTGTCTTTTGCTATTTGGCACTTTCCCAGAGAGGAGGCCATACCGGAGGAGGACATCTGTCACACATCTGCCACACTAATGTCGCTCCCTCAACCCGCAAGAGATCAACACACACACAAACACTCCGACACACACACACACACACACACACACACACACACATGCTGGCGCGGTCGGGGGTTTGGCACAACAGTGGGAAGAGTGTTTGTCACTGTTGCAGTCTCCGCCTCCTCTCATGTCTGTCAACTCATCAGCCGCCTCTGTTCACTCTCAGCAAGTTCCATCACACTGACTGAGTGCATATAATAGTCTGTGTGTATTAAGGGCAGATAGCGGAGCCTCCTCTTCAGAACCAGCACGTCTGTGGGTGGCCTCTTGGCGTAATTTGAGTCACATCCCATAGGACTCCATTCTGTGAAATATTTTAGTCTGACAGAGTGTTTTCTGGGAAATGTCACATTATCAGGCTGCTGTATGTAAGTGTTTGCAATAGTGATGATGAAAGCTGAAAATGTTGGCTTAGTTTAACATACGGTTGTATGCAAAAGTTTGGGTGCCCCAGTTAAATTACTGTTTGTTCAATGTGAAAGTAAGTGCACATCTTCTAAATGGAACACACACTGCAAAAATGGTGTCTTGTCAAGTGAAATTCTCTTAAATCTAGTTGATATATTTAAGATTTCTCATTTTGAGATGGTTGTGCACTTATAAGATAATCAAGCTTATTTCCAGAATTTTTTACTTGTTTTAGGTCATTTTATTAAGTAAAATTATCTCACCGTACAGGCAGATAACTTAGCTTGCTTCTTAAAACAAGCAAAATTATCTGCCAATATAGTGAGACAATTTTACTTGCTAAAATTGTTTAGAACAAGTAAAATGTGTCTAGAAATAAGTTAAATAATCTTAAATTAAGCTTACATCAACCTCAAAAGAAAATATTAGAAATATTAGATTTCTTGACCATATTTAATATAATTTTACTTGACAAGATACCATTTTTTGCAGTGTATGCACTTTTTAACGCCTAATTACTGTTTATTTGCTGAATTTAACGTGCTGGGGGGAAAACAACATAACAACATGTGGCCTGTGCAAATGTAATGGCATATTTAGATATTATTTTTTGTTTTCTTCCAGTATGTTAAAGAAAAGGCATATTTAAGTTCTGTGTAAAGGATGTATTAGCTTATTTTCACTTGGAAATTTGCCTGGGGGTGTTCAGACTTTGGCATTGCAAGTCATGTACTTAAACACTAGAGGCACTTTGTTGGATTGTGTGGTGGGATATACACAATCATATTCACAATTACTACCAAAAGTCAGTGAACTACAACACAAAATCCTTTTCATATGCTACACTAATGTTTAATAGTTCTCTAGTGTGCATTTTCTTCATGTGGAGCTGAAATACATTTGAATCAAGTAAAGTATAGACTTCTAAAATCATGCCTCGTTGTAGTTAGCAAACAAGGAAATAAGGAACTCTACATCTAAGCTGTTCTTCTCCATGGAAAAGCTTAAGAAAAGCTTAAAAAAGTGTAAGTATAGTTTAATTTCATATATTTTAAGCCCTATTCAAGCTGGATTAGTTTTACTGGTGGAGGTCCTGTAATGTAATCTGTGGGGGGATTTGACCATCCAACTCATAAGTAATAAAGGATCTGTGTAATGACCCTATATTACCCTGGATCGCAATATCATCGCATGGAAGTTCAGGACAGGTCAGGTTCATGCAGCTAAATATATGTGGCCCAAAAACAAAAACAACAAAAAATTCAATACTAGATGAGAGATCACATTTCAGTGTGGGATGACACTCACTGTCATGACCTTGAGGATTACAGAATTTGATCAGATCAAGCTCCGTTTTTTTCAGTTTAAAAGTCACCAAAAAGAGAAACCACCGTTTTTACTGGGTTTTGTAATGACGGTACTGTGATGTTGATTCAAACAGGACGTTTGGCCAGATACAGAAGGTAATTTGCTCTAGAATTATCACTTAGCAGTCTTCGTAATGGATTAAAGTCACAAATCTCCTACATTATCTTAGTTTTGGCTCACGATATGTCTCATACAACAGTCAGCAAAACGAAAACAAAAGAATGTTATATGCTATTTCTATTTATTAAGACAGCGATTACTATTATTGCTTCATTTTACTTATCTATTTTACATTTTCATATTTATTTCAATGTTTTTTTTCTAACAGGTTTACTTTTTCTTACTGTTCAGTGCAGTGACCCTGACTAGTGGCTTATTGCCTTCAAATAGACCTTCAGCCTTCAGTGGAAAGTAACAGTATGTTCACTTTCAGTGCATATTGCTTAAACTGGCTCTAATTAGACTCCATAGGAGGCATTTCAGTGGGATTCTGAGGGCGTATGGTCACGCTGCCTGCAAAACATTCACTCTGCCAACTATCAGTTCACATATTAAGAACTGGGAGTTTTTTGAGAGCCAAGTAGACCATCTAGTATGTGTGTGTGTGAATCCTTTATGATGGCAGGGTCATGTAAGATCAGCAACTGATTTACGGGGACCTGAGATGCTATCAGTCATTTTGTTAACTCTTCATTATGCAGTGCTCCATCACATTGCTAGATCCTCTGAGTAGATCTTCCATCTACGTCAGCTCCCACGCAAAGAGACTGATTTATGACTCTGATGGCTGAAACTTAGAGCTATGTGTGCTGCTGACATAAACAGCATATTGTCATTGTCGGAACACACCTTGTATCGCTTTTTATACATTATTTGAAAATACCAGCTGTTTGGTAATTTAATGATGAATGGGCTTATTTGGAATAAAATCTTTTTACATTAACTTCCATTGAAAGTTAAGTATTTTTTCTTTCACTGTAAAGTTGCTATATTGTTCCGAAAGTGGCAATATGCGAATACTGTATGAATGAAAAATGAAGTAATGCGATAGATTATGCAAAGCACAAATGTCTTTTTAACCCTTACACTTTGCAGTTATCCTCAGCAGTTAAAACAGCATGGTGTTAAAACGGCATGATTATACCTGTTTCTCACTCATAGCTCATGGAAACAAATATAGAAATTCTGTTGAAAGAGCAGATTCGAAAGTTTGAGCCCAATCTAAACAGTCAAAACATTTATGTTTGTAAGTAGAAGAGGAGATATTTTATTATGATTTGAATTTGATGCAGTTATTGTTGTACTTACAGTTTTGTTTTGCAAAAAGACAAGCTATTTACGTTTTTGCCACATTTTGTCATTTCTTAAAGAAATGGTTTGGCAAATAATCAAATGCTCACAATATTCCACTTATATCAGATGAAGATGATTAGCTAAGGCATGTTTAATGTCCAAATTTTGCTTATTTCGTTTAGTGCTGGAGCTACAACATCACTAACAAACAAGTCAGGAGTTGTTTGAATTTTCCAGAAATATGTCCCCAAAACGTCTCCCAACGCCCTCAGAACCCTCTCATCCAGGTCTTTGTGAACTTCACTGTGTAGCTGAATCCAGCAGTCAGCCTATTTTATTACATTTGAATTTTGTGTCTCATTACTTACCAGGATTATTTTATGATATCTTCTTATGAATTCTTGCCTTCCGAGCCTGTATTTCCTTCAGGAGATGCAAATCCAGTTAACTCATATCTGCTTTCTCTTTGTCACTTAGCTTTCATTTTCTAGTTTGTCTCAAGCTTGTTGATGGCGCCTGTTTCGCTGTGCCTTTTAAACCCTTAGACCCTAACTGTGCCTAGAGTGCAGTTAATAGTCAGAGCTATAGTTTGCGTGATTAGCTATAGCTTTCATTAACATTCATTTCATATGCTTTATGAGTGCACACTTCACTTGTATGTACATCTGGCCCTTGGACTGTTCCCCCTTTTTCTCCTCCCTCTTTTTCTGTCGCTCCTTCTTTTCAAAGTTGCCTCTTTCAGAGATCTCATCTAATTATCTGCCATGTGCCACTCACCAGCCAGGCTGCAGGGTTAACACACGCAGTTCTCGTATTCTCTCAGCCTTTTGAAAAAACGCTCACACTTCCTGCTCCAGGCCTGTGCTGCTTATTTCAAAGGATATGTTTTATTAATTCCATTGCTATTTAAGAGACAGAGCAGACAGCAGATCCTTAATGAAAATTATAATTGAAAGGCGAATCACATTAATCACGATCAGAATCACCCCGGGGTTCTTTTCTCACATGAAGTGCACACACAGGTACACATCACACACACACCGACCACCATGGAATGAAAGTGGTGATGCCAGATACAGCTTTAACATTCTGCGTGACTCATTTAGCTGTCTAGCTGTATATTTTGTTTCATCTGGACTGTCTAACTACCATTTTTTTAAAAACTTTGCTATTTAACTTTTTGCATCTTTTGATTGATGGTATTGATACACAGGAGCCATTATGTTCCTCTGCTGGTTCTCTGATGGTCCTTCACTGGTTCTCTGATGTTAAAGCAATGGTTCCTCTATCCAAGGGTGGCCCACTATGGGGCCCACATGCCAAAGCTGGCCCATGAGGATAATTTTATACTACATTTAACTTATTAAATTATTTAATTTCCATTAAAATTGCAATTTAATATACATTTTTTTTTACCATTTTAATGTTATAAGATCTTTAAAAACTCATAATTCATAATAGTTAACAATTACAGAAAATTTCATTATAGTTACTGAATAATTCATAGTTATTACTGAATATTTTATAGCAGTTACCAAATAATTCATAGTATTTGCATAATAATCTGTAGTAGTTACTAAATAGTTCATTATAGTTATGAAATAATTCATAGTCATCACTGAATATTTATATATTG